GAAGGTTTGGTTGAGGTCCCGGGGGCCTCTGGTGGATTCCGGGTGATTGACGGATCGAAAATGGATTTTTGGGAAGGCTGAGGTTTGCTGGTTGCTGGTATTTCCGCTTCTGCGGAAATGGGACCGCAGAAGCTGCCCCGCAAAGGCGGTAGAGGGAGCCGCAGAAGCGGATTTGTTCGAAGTTTCGTGGACCGCAGATGCGGTCAAGGTTCGCAGAAGCGGGACCGTATCTGCGGAAGTGGGCATCGCAGAAGCGAAAAGGGGGCGGCCAGGACGGATCGCAGAAGCGGCTGTTGACCGCACTCCAGGGTCCGCAGGTGCGGAAATGACTGGAGCAGTGAGGTCTTTAAAATTCAAGGTTGAGTTCATTTCAACCCCATTTTTCTTCCATTGGAGTCGATGGGGAGCAGCTTGGAGGTGCCATTTTCGTCACTCGTCATGAGGTAAGTAACTTAAGCTAGCTTTGAGTCAAATACAAGGTTTATACATGGATTTGAGCCTGAAAATTGTAGAAAAACTTGGGGTTTGAGGGAATTTTCCCCATAGGTGAAATAATTGCTTATGTGCTCCTATTTGTGGGGGCTACGTACGCACGAGGTGACGAGAGTCCGTGCGTAGCTACTATTATGCTATTGTCCGGGTAGTTAGGACCCAAAAAGCATGTTACACTTGGATTATTTATGAACCCCATGATAACTTGAATTGCTTAAATCACCTTGGATTAGTAAATGAATTTAAAAAGAGATTAAACCTCATTTTTCCTGAATTGTTAAAAAGAGAAATTGTCTTATTTGGATAAATATCCCCGATAAGTTCCTAATTGACTGATTGAGCATGTATCTCTATGTGTACCTGCGTCGCACGCATGATTCGCGAGCAGGGTATGTGTTTATTTATTGAACTGGCCGAACACCTCGGCAGATTAAATAGATGCATCTATGGTTCGGGCCGTTCGACCCTCGGCAGTGCACAGTTTACATTTCTATTGGAGCGGGCCGTCGACCTAGGCATGATTTGCGCATGATATATATATTGTTTTTCCTAAAAAAATTTAAATGTGGGTATTGCCTTTCATGGCTTGGTATAAATTGATAAAATAATGAAAAGAAAATCCTTTATTACTTGTTGAAGGTGTTTACCTGTTTTCTCGCTTTGTGGGTTAGAACCGCTATATAAAATTCCTGATTTCCTCGCACATTTAATATATTATTATTGGACCACTAGTAAGTGTCAAAGTTGACCATCTCGTCTCTACTGCTTCGAGATTAGACGGGATACTTGCTGAGTACACATTGATTACGTACTCATACTACACTTCTGTGCATTTTTGTTGCACAGGTATAAATAACTCCAGTGGCCTACTGGGCGTAGCAGCGCGGATGATTCTGGGACTAGGTGAGCTGCATTATTTGAGGCGACCCGCAGCTAGTGTAGTTCCTTTTAGCTTATGTTATTTAATTCCTGTCCACTGTATTTTCGGTTGTATTTTATTTCCTTATCAGTAGATGCTCATGCACTTGTGATACCGGGTTCTGGGATGGTTTTTCAGAGATGTGTACTAATAGTTATTACTTAATTCGAATTGAAGTAGAAATTGTTTTTACTTATGAAAAATGGAAGGAAGAATCCTAGATTTTCAAAGGTATTAAAAGAGAATTTAATTGATAACTTAGTTGGCTTGCCTGACAGTAGTTTCCGGCGCTATCACGACCCGTAGTGGATTTTGGGTCGTGACACTCACCCTTAGACAGATACTTGCAGACAGTATTAGGTAATCTTCATTTTAAGCCACACCCTTTTGTAGAACAGACTAATATAGAAAGAATAAGTTTTGGAAAATATAATTTAATATTCTTTCCACCATCAAACATGTCGTTTAGAGTTCTACCAGAATGTGTCATAGACAGACCTCAAAGGTGTCTAATTGATAACTTATGGATAACATATAATAAAAAAGACTCTAAATATTTTATAGCGGCTCTTAATGCCTTAGGACAATATTTTACAAATAAAAACCAAGGCAAAAGATTTAAGTACTATGTAGTTATACATGGTAAGACAAAGGGTATTTTTCACACATGGTTAGAAGTACTAGACTCTATTAAAGATATAGAAAAACCGCTTTTCAAAGGTTTTAATGACTTTACTGAAGCATTAGATTATGCAAGAGGAATACTAGGACCAAACTACTATATCTCCCCAGCACTTGGACAAAACCCAGAAAAAACCCCCCAATACAATATCCGAAAGGACACGACAAAATAATATTCTGTGATCATTGTTCATCAATGACAGAAGCCTTCAAACGAATAACCAGAAAAATGAAATCCTGGCACAAGAAAAGACAAAACTTATGGAGCAAGTAAAGGTACTAGAACACAGGGTACATGCGTTGAGATTTGAATTAACACAATCCCAGACTCAAGTTATTCCTCAACAAGACACAGAGATGAGTAGTCCAAAGAGTTCCCCATCTCAAGCAAAAATGGATGAGAAGGGTGTGCATTCCCCAATGAATGCAGCAAGATCTACTGTATCGGATAATGATACAGCTAGTCCGGTTCAAACGGTGACCGGTAAAGACACATCAAATCCGTTTATGGCTGTCACTTTGCCAAAAAGTGAAGATGAAGGTCCATCGAGAAGAAGACTATCCAGAACATTAACACAGGGAGAAGCGTTAAAAAAGAAGGGTATAATTTCAAAAAAAAAATGAGAAAATAGAAAATATAATCAAATAGACATTAGAAAATTTCTTTCAAGAAAAAGAAGAACAAGACAAACATATGGTTAAGAATCCAAGTCCTAATCCAAGTCCAAGTCCAAGTCCAAATCCAGAAAGAACTCAAAGTTTAGGAGAAGATGATAACTACGAAGACAACCTAAATTATCAAGATGCTCAAGATCCATATGAAGATGACTCAGGAATGAGTTTTGATTTAATAGCTATACATAATTTTAGACACATAAAAGCAAGTTCTTAACTAAACAGCAATTAAGGGAACCAAAGACAAAAGAAGAATAATAATGCTAGTGTAAAAGACAGAGAAATAATGTTGGCGTGCCAATGTGAAAAACAAGAAAGTAAAGAAGATGTGACAGGAAGAAATGCTAGCTGTGCTAAAAGACAGACGTGACAAGTGACATAAAGTAGAGAAGATGTGACAAGAGGTAATGCTAGCTGTGCTAAAAGACAAGCTAAAATTTTGAGTGGAAGAAAAAGTTACAAATATTAAGGGAATCTTCGACAAAGCCATGTGAAGATGGGGCTCAATGAAGTACCTGCAACGCTGGACAAGATAGATTTCTGAAGAGTTTGAAATCCATTTTTCAACTCCGTTCCAAAACTTAGCTATAAAAAGGAGAAGAAAGAAGAAGAAAAACAAGATACAAAGAGAAGAAAAACACTCTGAAGAAAACCAATCCCAGCATCCTCTTCATCACCAACTATCCTCCAAAACACTTTGTAAAATATTTCCTTATGAGTACTTTAGTAGCTCCTCCTCAAAGCTTGTAAAATAAATAAATCTTTATGCTTATGTGTGATCGTTTTTAATTCCCCAAGCTCAGTAGACTTTTTTCGGGTTTCCCGAAAGGGAAATCTCTCTCCTATAAGCATGTAAGTTACTCATCTTTATCTAAATTATGTTTCTACTATTACCCCTGTTTCTTTTACAGTTTTATGTTATTCTGTATAGCTTTATGTTCTATGTTCAAGTATTAGTTTGATAACAACCAGATATCACTCTTAGTATATGGTTAACTTCCCAATTTCTTAACAATTCTGATGGATTAACCTGTAAATTCCTAGGAGAAACCGGTTAAGAAAAACCCGAAAATAATCAAGAAGGGTATAAGTGTTTAACCGTGGCCGGGGTGAGGTTAAAGAAATAAGAGTTAAGAAAAGAGTTAAATCTTTAAAAGATTGGGAAGAAGAGATGAACAGAGTGAGTTAAAAAAAAAGGGTAATCTTAGTTCATATATTTATATTTATATATATATATATATATATATATATATATATATATATATATTTGTATCAAATATAAATAATTTCTGGTGCGGGCTAAAAGTGAAAGCCCAAGTAAAAATTGCACGGGGGCGTCCTAGTTGGTCGCCCCTATTTAATCTATATCCATTTTTTTAAAAAGTTTTAACTTGTACTCACTCTCCTTTGTTTTCTGCCCTTTTCTTTGTAAATTTTATATGAAGCCAACTACAATTAACAAACTATGAATTGACAAGTGAAACAGAAGACAAATAGTAATATGATATTACACTAAAAATATTTATATGGCAACTGTAATATAATGTAATTCCTTAAACAGAAGACAAATTGCTATTTGGTTCCAGAACCGCCGTGCACAGTGGAAGACAAAGCAATTGGAGAGAGATTACAATGTTCTTAAAGCCAGTTTTGATTCTCTCAAACATAACTATGAAAATATAAAAATATTTATATGCTAGTTTTTGAAAGATTTATGACAAAACTAATAAATTCATGACAAAAAAAACTTCAGCTTATTTAGTGCTGAAGTTTTTACAAATTAACTAAATAACTTCAGCATCTTCTACTGAAGTTTTTGAAAAAGCTTATCCAGGACAAAAAATACTTCAGCAAATTTAATGTTGAAGTTTTTATAAATGAACTAAATAACTTCAGCATCTTCTGCTGAAGTTTTTGAAAAAGTTTAATGGCAAAACTAATGAATCCAGGACAAAAAAATTTCAGCTTATTTAGTGCAATTACAAACAAAAACTTCAGCAAATAGAGAACAAAACTTCAGCTACTATGATTAAGTTAAGCAATTACAAACAAAAACTTCAGCAAATAGAGAACAAAACTTCAGCTACTATGCTTAAGTTTAGCAATTACAAACAAAAACTTCAGCACACTTGCTACTTCAGGCCCGTCTACTAGAATGCTGAAGTTTTGCGTGATTGCCTTTGCTACTTCAGCCCCGTATGCTGAAGTTACGCGAAAAAGTGCCTACGCTTGCAATTTTTTTTGCAAAGCGGACACAAGTTAAAACGTGACCCAAAAAGCGGGTATAGATGCAAATGCCCCAAAGCCCAAGCCAGTCTCCTCCGGCCATCTCCCACGTTGCGGCCCAAGCCCCAAAGATTGGGCCTTTTTCTTTTAAAGCAACCTAACATTTTAAACCAAAAATGAAAATAATAATGACAGTTTCATAATCGTTAAACTTTTTGAAATGTCCTGGTTTAACTGGGCACAAGATTAAAGTGATAGTTAAAATTTTCTGAATATTACTGTAGTAAGTAGGAGTTGGTGCTAGAAGTAGAACAGTTTTGAGAGAGAAAAAAATGACAGGATAGTCATTAAATAGGATATGAGGGACCGCCATAACGCGGGCATCACCCCACCTTCGCCATAATGACAGGTAAATCCTCTGTCATAGATGTACCTTCGCAGAGTGCGGGCATCACCCCACCTTCCTGCTGCTGCATAGATGTTGGATCACATAATATACCTGGCAGCATTATCAGGTTCCAGCTCAAATAGATCTTCTGCCACCCTTCTAGCAAGTTTCAAGTTCCCATGTACCCTGCAAGCACCCAAAAGTGCGCCCCACATTCCAATATTGTCTCTTCCCCAAGGAGCTCTCTTGATCAATCCGCAGCTTCTCCAAGCATATTCTTCCGTCCAAGTAAATCAATCAAGATGGCATAGTGATCCAACTGGGGTACTATACCGTATTTCCTCTCCATTGAATGGAGATATTGAAATCCTTCAGGTAATAAACCACAGTGGCTACAGGCAGATAAAACCCCAAGAAAAGTTACATGATTTGGTGTTGTATCTGTTTCAATCATTTTCTCAAACATGAACAAAGACATCACTCCATTCCCATTTTGAGCAAATCCATTTATTATCGAGTTCCAAGTAACTCGATCCTTCCCATCTAACCTCTCAAACAATCTCATAGCAGATATCATGTCTCCACATTTAGAATACATGTCAACCAAAGCATTAACTACAAAAACATTATGCAAATCAATTAAACATGTACATCTAAAAATGTGTCCATGAACTTGCTTACCTTTTTCAATAAGAGGTATGTCTGCACAAGAACTTAGGACACCAACGTAAGTGGATGCACGCGGTACAATACCTTCTTCCAGCATTTCCTTGAAAGTACACAAAGCCTTATCTCCTTCTCCATTTTGGATAAACCCTGTGATCAGAGCAGTCCAAGCCACCACATTTCTGATCGGCATATGATCAAAAAGTGAGCACGCATCTGCCGTTCTAGACGCACGTATATAAGCAACCAACAGCGAAGTCCACGAGAATACATCAGTCTCGCGCATTTGACAGAAAATAAAATAAGAGTACCCGGGTTTGCCACATTTCCCATAAGCATTAATAAGTGCATTGCAAACCACAAGATTAAACCTCACACCAATCACAGTTGCTAACCCATGCAATTCACGCAACAAGCTCAATGCACCCAAACCTGCATAAGTATTTACCACGCTAACAACCGTGAACTCGTCAATCAAAAACCCATTCCCACATTGAGTTTGCATAACAATTCAAAAAGGCAATTCTGCAAATTTGGATTACCAGGTGTTCTACAAAATGCCCAAGCCATGCAATTCCCCAGCTCAAATAGTTGGTACTGGTGTTCCTCAAGCTTTTCATGATCATAATGAAGTCAGTTGTCAACCTAATTCTCATGAAGCAATTCAAAAAAAGGGTGATCGGGCACTTTCTTCCCCTTCCGTTCCTCGTGTGGTCGTCAATGGTGTTCAAGCTGTTGAACCGAATTTGAACCCATTAGATAACGAAAAATGTTGAAACAGTTGATGCTAGCTTTTTTAGTTTTACTCAGATTTGTTTTTGGATAAGAGTGTCACGTGGCCCAGTAAAAAGACGCCAATGCATTAGTTGGAAGGTCCAGCTGGTCTGCCGTTAAATGTCGGGGTATTTTAATTAATAAAATTAACGTAATGTATACTTGTGGGCTACTAGATGGACGGAATATGTATTTTGGGACTGATAGATGGACGGAGGCTATAAGTAAACCATTTATCAAACAATAGGGGTAGTTTAGGCCCTTTTCCGTTCTTCATTCAAGGTTAAGGTTGTGCATTTATATCACATTGCAAGAAATCGATTACTACGTAGATATCATTTGAATAATCTAATAGAGTAAAATTAACAATGTATATAACTTAATGTCAATCAGCAAAACAAAAATGTAATGTTATAAAACATGCACTATAAAAGTTCATGAACAAAAGCGATATGATATTTGCAGTTGGCTTTACGCGGATATCGTTGCAAGTGGAAAGTATGTTATACTTCATTTCTTTTATTGTTTGTGATCCTAGACTAGGAATTGAGTTTAAGAAACAAAAACAAAAGTTTAACATAGTAATATTTGTGTGACGATAAAAAAATTCAAAACATGCGATTTTCAACCTAATATAATATTAACATGTCTATAAAGCTTATCATTAAAGATATAATAAAAAATTTAAAGTTAATTATTATCTTTTAAAAAAAGAAATATGTTTTTTTAGAAATAGATTGAAAACACAATAGGGTCACAAGCTGGAACGAAGGGAGTATGATTTTAGGATAAAATAACATGCGCTCCATTTGGTCACCCCATTTAATTTGTACTTATTTAAAAAAAAAAGGTTTAACCGATATCCGATTTTTGGGTAATTTTAGATACGCTTTTCTCTTCTTTTCATAGTTGCGTTCTTCTTTTATGTATTTATGTCCCACGTATTTAGGAGCTTTGCTGCTACTTTTTTCTACTATGTATGCATGCCGCATGTATCTAGGAGCAGTTTGATTTCTTCTTAGCTGCAAAATACCATTGTAGGTTGTGCTTAAATTTCTTCTTCTTCTTCTTCTTAGTTACAAAATGGGTTCGTTAGATTTATTGTTATTTTACAATTTGGTGATTCGGATTTGTTCTTTATAATTTTTGAAAGTTATGTTTGAATTTTAGCTCATTTGGAGTAGATTTGGACGACGAATTGTATGTGGAGTTGCTAAAATTCGAAGAATAAGTTTATATTTCAGAACTAGGGGTGGCAAACAGGCGGGTCGGATTGGATATGTGATGTGCCGAAAGTGGGTAATGAAAAAACCAATAACTTATTCGACCGACTAATATTTAATTCGGATAAAAAAAGAGTTAACCGACGAATAATATGGGTAACCATATTATCAATGACTTCTTGAAATCACTTTTGAGACAATTTCTAGTCTCCCAAACTTGAAGAACCCCAATTTGAGGCTTTACAAATGTAAAAGTTAAACCTATTAGTTATTTATTTTCTAAATGGATAATATGGTTCTTATCTATATTTGACCCGTTTAAAAAAAATCATTATCCCACCCATTTTTTAGTGGATAATATGGATGGTTAACTGTTTTCTTTTAACCATTTTGCCACTATTATTCAGAACTTAAGATCCGAATTCTGAAGTTACATTTAAGAAATAGAACTACATAAGATTCGTTTTTTCTGAAGTTGCATTGGAAAGATAAAAGAACTTAAGATCCGATTTTCTAAAGTTCATTGAAGAGATAGAACTACTTAAAATTTAATTTTCTGAAGTTGCATTAGAAAGATATAAGAACTTCAGATCTGATTCTGAAGTTGCATTGAAGAGATAGAATTACTTAAGATCCGATTTTTGAAGTTGCATTGGAAAGATAAAAGAACGTCAATTGTCATTTAAGATATAGAATTACCTAAGATCCGGTTTTTTGAAGTTGCATTAAGAAGATAGAAGAATTTCAATTGCATTGAAGAGATGGAAGAACTTCAGATGCGAGTGAGTATATTTTATAATGTGCAATGCGTGTATAACTTTAATGGCGGCTCAAAAGTGGGTATTTATAAACTTCCCAGATTTTATGAGATCATTGTGAAATCGGGCTAGAGGGAAAGCCAGTCGAAAAAAATGATACTGTATAGCTGATCTCAAAATAATAGCCGATTATATATATATATATATATATATATATATATATATATATATATATATATATATATATATGATTGGAAAGAAGAGATGAACAGAGTGAGTTAAAAAAAAGGATTAATTGTCACACCTCCTTTTTACCCACCCGAGGGAAGTATATAAGGGAGTTTTTCCAATTTAAGTGACATTATTCGAAATGGGATTATTTTATTCATTTTTCAGAGTCGCCACTTGGAATAAATTATTTGGTGTCCCAAGTCACCGGTTATTTTAAAATCCCAAATCGAGGAAAATGTTATTTTTTAAAGGTCTGCGAACCAGAAATTCTAGATAAGGAATTCTGTTCACCCGAGAGAAGATGTTAGGCATTCTCGAGTTCCGTGGTTCTACCACGGTCGCTTAGCGATTTATACTTGGCTTAAATTATTTAACTACTCATTTTTAGGAACTATGTGCATTTATCTTTTTACCGCTTTTAAATCACTTGAATTAGTCGTAATTAAAGAATTGAGTTACGCGTACGTATGCTCTTTTCTTTTGGCGCGTCAAAATCATGTCACGTGAACGTGTTCACGATTAATAATGCTTTTTGTTGATTTATTAAGAAAGTTTGATTGAAGTTGCGCGAACGCATCCCTCGAGTCTTTTTAGAAATCGTAACCATATCACGTGGACGTGTACACAATCACGATAGTAGATTATGAGTACGCCTAAAGCTTTCTAGCGATTGAAAATATTTGATGTCAATTAATTTGCAAAGGATGGGCTAACTACATGTATTTTGAAAAAAGATTGGGCCAACTTAAACAATGAGACCCAAAATTACTTCAGGCCCGAATTTGTTTCATCTAAACCGAATCAAAGGTCCAAACATCAATTTTGTCACAAACTATTAACAATTTGCTTTCAGCACCATTAAAACTTAGTCTACTTTCACTTTAAATTTGACAAAAGGATAAAATTAATTCATAAACAAAGTTAAAAAAAAAAAAAAAAAAAAAAGAAATCTTTGCATAGATACCTACAAGAATTTACAGAATATGACAACTCACTTTTACTATTGAATTTATTTAAAAATAAAATTTTTTAATCATAATGTCATGTGTATATATATCAACTCAAAGTAGTCACATTTAGTACGTCACAATCCCAATGAAGACTGTTTACCCCCACCAAAAAAAAAAGTTTCACCAAATTTTCCAAGCTAACGAGAACGGCCCTTACGGTGACCTTACAAGAGAAAAGTTTTACAAGCGACAAAAATCATGCATAAAGAAAAGATGAAAATTGACTCTCCGGAGACGACAGCTTAAATGGTAGCGATGGCAAAAGCTACAGAATTGGAGAGAGGTTTGGGGAAAGACGAGAATGGGGGAAGTGGAGTCGCTGGTGAAGCATAGATGGAGGAGGGTGATGGGCGTGAGTTAGGGTGCTGCTGGAGGAAATGATGTGGTAGGTGTTGTGTGAAGTGGTGTTAGCTGCTGTTAAGAAGCCATGGAATTTCCTCTATGAAGAAGATGGGGACTCGATAGGAGGGGGGGTCTTTTTTTGGTGTTAAGCAGCGGATCTCAATTTGTAGGTCTAGGTCTATATTTTAGGTGTAAGTACTATTATATAGGGGTAGGGATTAGGTTAGGGGTATGAGCCTAGGAATTATGGGCTAGGTCCAAAAATTAAGCCTAAAAATAAGTTGCTCGAGCCCAAGTTCTATTTTTTCCCCGCGAACGAGATAAAAATGCGATCTCATTTATTAATTAATCCTACTTAAGTAAAATAGCTATTAAAATAAGTCTGACCGTTAAAATAAACTATTTTTTTGGTATTTTTTCAAAATTAAAAATGACTACAAAATATTAATAAAATTATTTTTTGTAATTTTTATTTTTCTTGTAATAAAATAAAGTAAAAAAGTCTAAATTAATTAAAATAGCTATATTAGGTCTAGATTAAATATTTACGTGCTAAAATATGAAAAATCTTGGGGAGGGTCAAAAATCACATGTCTACAGCTGCCCCTCTTTGACTGGAAACGCGAAGAGTTTTCAGACAAAGAATGACTAGATAGGTTATTTGACCCGACCCTTATTTGGAAAGGCCAAAAGCTCAAAGAAAGGAGAATGTGACCGAGCCCTGGTATCTGAACTGCCTATATATCCTTGGCTATAAAGGAATCAGGCCACGTGCAGTTCAGAAGTGAATGAGGTGATGGAGTACCGAGGTTGAGAGCCGAGCGAGGTGCCGTTGTGGTTCCGGTCCGTGGTCCCGTTATTATATCAGAATCAAAAATGAAAAAGACTAACTAAGCCTATCAGCTACGAGTTACAAGATTCCTATCTATAAATCTTCTGAAGCTTGATCTTGAGTCTTGGTTGGTTCTTGCTGCAGACTCCGATCTGAAACTTGATGCTCGTCAGCTGTAACCGCTGGTTCATTCTTCTGCTTTGGATCAAGGCGAGACATGCGAAGCTTGTGACTTCAATCATATCTTGAGCAGTCCGCTTCTTTCTCCGCTTCAGCACTTTGAATTCACTTCTTTTGTTCTTTTTATTCTTTTCTTTATTCTAGATTGAGACTCATTATTTTGGTCATCTCGAATCATATGCCTCGAGGTCAAACCTGCTCAGACACCAAAACAAACAACGAACGAAATTTTTCTGCCCCAGTTTTCACTAGGAAAATGTCGTGAGTTATTTGTAACTAAAATCTAAACCCTTTTTTTTAAAAGCGATAAAATAAGGATTGTGTGTCTTTAGGAGGAAAGATTAGGGAATGGAGCCCTATATCTAAAATTCTCAACTAGGGAATGGAGGCCCTATGTTGGCAAAAAAGGCGACTAGGCAATGGAGGCCCTATGTCTAAAATCTCAACTCAGGGATTGGAGCCCTAATGTTGGCAAAGAAAAGGCGACTAGGTAATGGAGGCCCTATGTCTAAAAATCTCAACTCAGGGATTGGAGCCCTAATGTTAGCAAAAAAAAAGACTAGGGAATGGAGGCCCTATGTCTAAAATCTCAACTCAGGGATTGGAGCCCTAATGTTGGCGAAAAAGGCGACTAGGGAATGGAGGCCCTATGTCTAAAAATCTCAACTTAGGGATTGGAGCCCTAATGTTGGCAAAAAGGTAACTAGGGAATGGAGGCCCTATGTCTAAAATCTCAACTTAGGGATTGGAGCCCTAATGTTGGCAAAAGGCGACTAGGGAATGTAGGCTCTACGTTTAAAAAATCTCAACTTATGGATTGGAGCCCTAATGTTGGCAAAAAGGTGACTAGGGAATGTAGGCCCTATGTCTAAAATCTCAACTTAGGTATTGGAGCCCTAATGTTGGCAAAAGGCAATTAGGGAATGGAGGCCCTATATTCAAAAAATCTCAACTCACGGATTGGAGCCCTAATGTTGGCAATAAAGGCGACTAGGAAATGGAGGCCCTATGTCTAAAAATCTCAACTTACGGATTGGAGCCCAAATGTTGGCAAAAAAGGCAACTAGGGAATGGAGGCCCTATGTCTAAAATCTCAACTTACGGATTGGAGCCCTAATGTTGGCAAAAAGGCGACTAGGGAATGGAGGCCCTATGTCTAAAAATCTCAACTTAGGGATTGGAGCCCTAATGTTGGCAAAAAAGGCGACTAGGGAATGGAGGCCCTATGTCTAAAAATCTCAACTTAGGGATTGGAGCCCTAATGTTGGCTAAAAGGTAAAAATCTCAACTCAGGGATTGGAGCCCTAATGTTGGCAAAAAGGCGACTAGGGAATGGAGGCCCTATGTCTAAAAAATCTCAACTCAGGGATTGGAGCCCTAATGTTGGCAAAAAGGCGACTAGGAAATGGAGGCACTATGTCTAAAAATCTGAACTCAGGTATTGAAGCCCTAATGTTGGCAAAAAAGGCGACTAGGAAACGGAGGCCCTATGTCTAAAAATCTCAACTTACGGATTGGAGCCCTAATGTTGGCAAAAAAGGCGACTAGGGAATGGAGGCCCTATGTCTAAAAATCTCAACTCAGGGATTGGAGCCCTAATGTTGGCAAAAAGGCGACTAGGGAATGGAGGCCCTATGTCTAAAAAATCTCAACTTAGAGATTGGAGCCCTAATGATGGCAAAAAAGGCGCCTTGGAAATGGTGGCCCTATGTCTAAAAATATCAACTTAGGGATTGGAGCTCTAATGTTGGAAAAAGAGCAACTAGGGAATGGAGGCCCTATGTCTAAAAATTTCAACTTAGGATTGGAGCCCTAATGTTGGCAAAAGGCGACTTGGGAATGGAGGCCCTATGTCTAAAAAATCTCAACTCAGGGATTGGAGCCCTAATGTTTGC